CTCAGATATTGACGAATATACACTGTTTCTGCTTTTGGAATTATGCAAATAGTGCTGCTATAAATAGTCTTGGACCTGTCTTTTATCGAATGTATGCACACCTCTGTTGGTTATATACCTAAGACTGAAACTGGGGGAAGGGTCATAGGGCATGCATATGGTTAACATTAATAGATACTTCCAGTTTTCCCAAGTGTGTTTACTAATTTATGTTCTCACTCACCAGCAGTATATAAGAATTTGTTTTTCCATATCCTTAGAAACACTCGACTTTTTCATTTTACCCATTTTGGAAATGTGTAGCTGTATTATTTTCTGGTTTCAATTTGCATTTGCCTGATGACTAGTGATGTTGAGCACCTTTTTATATGCTCAGTGGCCATTTGAATAGTCTCTTTTGTAAAGTGACTGTTCACGTCTTTTGCCCATTTTTCTTTTGGGTTTTCTGCCTTGTTATTATAGAAAATCTTTTTGTATTCTGGAATGAATTCCTTGCCATATTATATACAGAGATTACATATTGTCCTTCACTTTGTGGCTTAGTCCTTTTAACTCACTTAATTATACTTGTTGAGGAAAAAGCTGATTTTAATGATCTACAATTTATCAGTATTTTCTCATTATGATTAGCATTTTGTTTTTCGTTTAAGAGATCTTTGCTTATCACACAGACGTGAAAATGTTTTCCTATGTCTATGTCTGAAATCTTCTACTTTGCCTTCCACTCTTGGGATCTGCAATTCATACAGAACTGATTTCAGTGAGTATAAACCAGGAGTCCATATTTACTTTATCCATGTGGATACTAACGTGGCCCCATGTCATTTTTCAAAAAGGTTTTTTTCCCCTAAACTGCAGGCTGTCCTCACAGTGAATATATGTTACCTTTGACATAACTTAAGTCAGAGATTACCAAATATGTGTGGGTGTCCTGACCTTTTCACTTCTTTAAACTATTTGTCTACATCTGTGCCTATGGCACTCTGTCTAGTTATAATATCTATATAATACATTTTGTTATCTGCCAGTGTTAGTCATCTGCAGGATTGCTTTTGACTATTCTTCGATTGTTGCATTTCCATGTACATTATAGAATCAGCTGATTAATTTCTGCAAAAAGTTATGGTTTTTATTGGGCTTACATTTAATCTCTTGACATCTTAATATACCAAATCTTCTAATCTGTGAAACCCTACATTTATTTATCTTGTTTCTCTCAGTCATGTTTTCAGTGTAGAAACAGCTTACATATCTTTCATAATTTTGTATCTATATTCATAAGGGATTTTGGTAAGTAATTTTCTATCTTTGTATCACCTTGTTGGATTTTGGAATGAAGATTATAGCGGCTTCATAAAATATGTAGAAAAGTGTTATTTTTCATTTTTAATTTTTTTTACCATTTTCTGGGAGAGTTTGCATGAGTTTTTCTTTCCATAAGTATTTAAGGGAATTTCATGGTTCTGTTTTTGTTGTTAACTAAACGAGCTATTACATCTAAAGCATTTAGGGAGTACCTGGCAATTAACAAATGGTATAAAATGCTAAGTATTCATATGTGCTTGTCTATCCATTCTCCCCCTGTAAATCACATTAAAATGCCAGAAGGGCAGAGTTTATACAAAGAGACCTACATGGAGAAGTAATGTGCTTTATGCCATTCTTTACATGTCACCTTTCAACATTCATCCAATTATCAATGGACTACTCATAATATTTTCAGTAGATAATCTATTTTGATTTCCTAACCATTTTACTACCATAAAAGTTAGATTAATACTACACAAAAGAGAAGTGCGTTTTGACAGAGCAGTTTTAAATGATATGTATCATTCCATCTTGTACTATTGAAGAGTTTTTTGTTGTGAAGAGGTGTACACTGAGTTCATGACATTTTGTTTTAAGTTAATAATTCCATGCCCCTTCTTTCATTCTGAGTCACTGTGCTCTCTCTCCCCCCTCTCCTTCTAGTGGAATTTTTCAAGGGTAACCGCTGGGCTGCTTCCATGTTCTCAGGGCTATTCATTCCTCAACCCAAATCTGGTTTCCTTTTTTACCACTCTGCTGAAATGACTTGTCGGCAAGGTCCCCACAAGTGGCCATGCCGTTAACTAAAGGTCATTCTTCTGTCCTCAACTGATGTGATCTCCGTGGTAGGTAGCACTATACACCACACCTGTTTTCTTGGAATATACTCTACCAACTGAACTCTATGACAATGTAGGCTTACTACTTTTTGTCTTATTTAATATTTCTGTTTAGTCTTAGCTTATTCATCTTTATGGGACTTTTTGAGTAGTGAGTCAATTTCTTGAAGTATGTGGCTTCAATCATTTCTATGAATGTTGACCGTTGAGTATATATCTCTCAGGTAGCATGCACTTCTTTTCTGGGCTCCATATTCATATATTGGTATGTCTTTGAGATCCCCATTTGGAGGCTTGTCAATTACCTCAAATTCAACATCATCTAAAACCAGGCTCATGCCATTCTTTTCATGGCTGCTACTATAATTCTCTCTTAGCAAACACCATCTTCCCAGACCCAACAATGACAAGACTGAGTGCGATCTTTGTCTCTACTCTCTCTCTCACCCCAGAGTCAAGGAACTGATAAGTCCTGCTCATGTTTTCTCCTAACCATCTCACAATTTCACTTGTAGTTTTTCCCAATGACACTATTTGAAAGCCTCGGCTACCATCAGTTTAGCAAGACTACTCAGACTGACTCTTCTTTGAACCTTCATAATTGCTGGTCTACCCACTGCAGCCAGAATATTCTTTTTAAAACTTGAATCTACAAACGTCATGCCCCTTTTGAAAAGTATCTGTTTCATGTCTGGCTTTACCAAGGGAATGTAGTCTGTTTTGTTCAAGTAGGTCATCAGTGTTTGGTGTATGTTCATTAAATGATAAATGACAAGAAAATGAATCAAAAACCTTCTTTTTTTACCATGCACAAATATATTTTCCTGTGATATATAGGTAATAATGACTTCTCTAATATAAGACATCATTTAAAAGTTTATAATGGACATGGCCAAGCTTATAAATAATATCACACAATATAAGCTGTGCACTAAATGCAAGAAATTACTTCCTCTGACAGACCATGTTAATCTACCCAACTCAGCCCTCTGTATACATGAAAGGGCAGAGAAGAAAAGCTGAATATGACTCAGTCAATTAATCATGTATTTCCTGAGTATCTATTAGGTGCCAGACAGGATGGTCTAGCCAGTGGAGAACAGCAGAGTCAAAAGCCTCTGGTAACCAGGAGCTATAGCAGACTATGGCAAATGCCAGAAAGATACAAGACATGAGAGTGCAAGAGAGAAGGATGGAATCCAATTCAGACAAGGAAATTAAAGAAGGTCTATTTGGGGCAGGAAGCATTTGAAACTTTTAAAGGAGGGTAGAATTTGGGCACCTGGGTGTCTCAGTTGGTGGCTCTTGATAATGGCTCAGGTCATGATCTTACAGTTGTGAGATCAAGCCCTGCATGGGGCACCTCAATGAGTGCAGAGCCTGCTTGGGATTCTCTCTCTCTCCCTCTCTATGCTTTTCTTCCCTACTCATGCTCTCTGTCTCTCAAAATAAACAAACATTTTTAAAAAATAAAGGAAGGCAGAATTTCAGAAACCTGAGAGAAAGTATTCCTAGTGAAAAGAACAGTCGGAATGAGGATTAATCTGGCATAATGTAATCGCCATGACTCATGAGAGGTTATGGAGGCCTTGGTTTAGGGGGCGGTGATCAGAAATGAACATGAGAACATGTCAGTCAACACTGGACCTACACATTTATGGGTTGGGAGGTGGGGAAAACTACATAGGTAACAACTAAGGGGATGCCCAGAATCACCCAGCCCAGAAGATGCCAGTGTCAGCAAGGGAAATAAGGAAATTAGGAGACTATGACCTTAGGGGTCCTGACACATCGAGGGAGAAATAATGGAGTTTCTGATCCACTAAGGGATAAGATGCTTTTAAGATGTCCAGGCAGGGCTGGAAATGGGAGTGTGATGTCTGAGAAGAGGACCAGGAGAGCTTGGCTAAACTTCAACTTTCCTATGAAATTGTCTTTAATGATCATACCGTGAATCCACAATCCATACATTTTATCTAAAGCATTCTGGAATCTTTCATTCGAATTTGATTACTTGTACAAATCTTCACATTCCCCTTACCGCTAACATTTTGAACCTTCAAAGTCTTCTTAATCAATGAACAACTGTGTTCCATTTACAACTTATTAAAGGTTGATTCGGTCCCGAATCCCAGTGCCGCCACCTGTGCCCCAAACTTAAGGCTCAGAATTCCTACTGGGCTACAGAGGGAATGCCACCTCATGAAGGCTTCTTGTGGGACAAATTATTTCATTTTGAAATTGTATAGCAAAAGAGCAACAAAGTATCGGTTCTACTTTTAAATAAGTGAGGGGTGGTTTTGCTTGCTGAAAGTTTTCATTCGAATGACTGATCAGATCTCACATGTCTGTTTAAAAATGTCTGACTTAGGTCGTTACAAAATGACAGACTGTGATAAACTACATGATAGTTGAGAGTGAGACAATGAAGCATTGTTTACACAGAAGATTGAGTAACTGGTTTTACAAAAGAGGTTCTTGGATATCTATTGTATGTACAACTAAGAGATTTACTGGAGCTTTTATAATTTCTGCAAGGCTCTTTTCCAGCCAGCTTCATTAACTTGAAGCAAATCAAATCATGCAGAAATCTGGCTCAGCCAGAAAGAAACCCAGGAAGATATAATATGAAGAAAAACAGACACGGGATGATAAGGTTTAGAATCTTTGGCATTTTTCATAAACATTTTGTTTGAAGATTATTAAATTACAACCCAGAGAGGAAAAAAAATAGCAAAACTCACTATTAAATCTGGTCTTTTTCCCTCGACTTTTCTTTACAATACATACATACATACATATATATATATATGTATATGTATATATATATGTTATATATATAAAACTGCACAAAGTATGTGTCAACAAAATACTGTTTTTACAACTTAAATATCATTTGAACATAAAGATATTGGTATACATTTATATATGCAAAAAATTAGGGTTTTTACTTGAGGAAGTACTATGAAATGGGGGCTGTAGGCATCAGATACTCTTCAGGGTTTGGGGAAGGTACTTTTCTAGGAATGAGGTTCTGAGATAAAGATGTATTGCATGTAGCCTATTTTGTTCAGGAACAAAAGATCATTTTGGACTGCTGACTTTTTTTTTTACTTTCATTCCCTGCTTTCTGAAGCTATACTATTGAGATTTTATTTTGGAAAGAGGCAAAGTCAAGTTGGAAGAAATGGTGTTTTTAAGGCAACTAAACACTCTCATGAAACCTTCACTTTGTGGACGAGTGGTCCTTTGGACTTTCCTGGGCCTTCCATTGCCAGCAATGGACAGTGAAACAGGCTGGCATCCAGCGCTGAGGTGTTGACCACAATCTTCCATACCTGACTTCAGTAATCATGGCTGAAGGACTCCCAAAGACTTGAGCTAATCCTGATCATTATTTAAAAATCTATTTATAATATATACTATTTGGGGAGATGATGGCTACCAGGGATTTGTTAACTCAGAGAAACTGACAGACTCACAAGAACAATAATCTGCAAGTAGTGTGCAGACGGGAGTGGGCATGGCTGGATCTTCTGGAGAATCTGTCCGGGGTCCGATAACAAGTTCAAAGCCCCTCCTGAATCCAGGTGGTCTCTCGGCTGTTCTGAGGAGGCTATTCAGCTCCCTGGCAGCCTTGCTTTACTTTCTGTTGGAGAAGGGGCATCAGTGTTTCACACTCTCTGGATCATTTTTCCTTTGGAGGGGCTGACCTGCTAGGCAACCAGCACACCCATGCACGTGGACTTGAACACACAGGTGCCGATTTGTGCACATACGGGGGGAGGGGCAGGAGGGGGTTCCACACAGCATGCATTTTGGAATGACACCATCGTGGCCACGGGTGAAACAGAGAGATGGCCTTGGTCTAATCAACCCAACAGGGAATCGGGGGCTGGTGTCCAACGTTGGCACGTGTCCTAGACGGCGCTGCGCTTCTTCCGAAGGGGGCTCTGGCTGCTACAGGGTTTCAATTCGGCGTACTGCACCTGTGAAAACAAACAGCCACGGACGCCGGCGGGTTAGGTAACCCTAGCTCGCCAGTGTGTGTTAATGGCTCCCCGAGGACAAACCGAGGCAAAGGAAGGAAGGTTCAAAGGTAATGAATCATTTTCTAAACACAGGAACATGAAGGGATTAATTGCAGGAAGGATTTGAGAAGTCATGCATCATTTCTTGAAACCAAAACATTAAAAGCAGATTTTTTTTTCCCCCTAACGAGATGCATGGATATTTCTACCTGCACTCGGTGCGGCCACACCATTTTAGTGTCGTGTCGCGTGCGCCCGTTTTCAACCACAGTACACTTAGTAACTGCCTGTGGGGAATGTTTATCTGCATGTGCCATGCAGTTAAGAAAAAATATTTAAAAGTATCTAAAATCTTGGAGGGAAAAAAATTCTCTGCAAATGATATACATTTATTTGGCCAGAGAGACCAAAAAAAATTTTTTTTGAAATTGATACTGGCCACGGAGTTAAATAGGTTTCTCTTAAAAATGAAGTTCATTTGCAATGTAATGGCTAAAACATCTGTGATAAGCGTGAGTGTTTGGGGGCTCCCCAGTGGCAAACTGTCTATTGCGTTATTAGCAAGCACTCTTGGTCATACACAGGAGGATCTCACTAGCATAGTGTAGATCTTCCTCGCAGGCTCTTTTGCTGTGTCTCTCTGTATTCACGACACCTCCCAACCGGATGGCCGCTCTGAGGGGCTGCTGCCTCGACTATGACTATGTCGAGACAATCCTTGTGGTGGGGCGTGCTTGATGGTGACTTCCTTTCTTCAAGGATGCAGGGACCCCCTCATGTTGCAACTCAAGTGACAGTACATTGCGATCGCATTGCTTTGCTGTGTGGGTTTTGATTGGTTGGTGGCAGAATGGCTTTATTTGAAGTATTTCCTTACAGACCACATGTGCTCAGTGTTTTTTAGCATTTGTGTCAAACTCCCCAAGGAGTTTGATCATGCCCCATCACATATGTTGAGAACTTCGTCGAAAGCAGATACGTGAAAAAAGCACCCTTTCCTTGGCGTGTTTTGTGAGGTGCCCCAAGGGGAGCAGGGGATGACATACCCACCAATCCTCAATGCAAAACAAACAGGGGCCAGGTTACTGTTTTAAAGTCACGTAATGCAAGTGTTAATGAGTAACTTCATATTCATAGAACGCAGTTAATAGCTAATTATATTATAAGATGGAGGTTAAAGAAACATAGCATCACAGAGTCTATTTTAATCTCTAGAACTCAGAATGAAGGGGAGAGAAATTCTAGGGCTTTTCAGCCCCGAGTCACTGCAATTTGCACAGAGATGCCTGGGAACCAATGATGTGACTGTGGCCCAAAGATGCAAATTGATACTTGATTTGGATTCTCTCAGATAATAAAGGGCTGTGTCTTTGATCATCGCCTTGATACTTCCTACCGTGGTCTCCCCATCTACCTATTGTGTGATCGCAATGCTCCTTTAGAGAAATCATTGCCTACGTTTCTTCCTCTGGGTTTATGGCAGCCTGATCGGCAGGGGCCTGGATCGGGTAGTCTATGAGACTTTCTGGTATCGTTGCATTGTTTAATCTCAACGCATCCAAAGAAACCCGACACCACTGGACTAAGTGGCCATTACCTGTGAATAATACTTCTGATCGATTGCCAATTATGTCATGCCATCTCTGCCTCTATGTGTATGAGAGTGAGTGGGGGCTCTGCCTCAGCATCCCTAATCATTTCCGTCTTCATAGCGGAAAGGATAGGAAGGAAGCCTAGGAGATAATAGGTGCAAGCAAGAATACAAAATAAAAAATAATCCTCTTGTCTGAAACTTCCCTAAAATGCCTGCCAACCAGAAGAGGGGGGAAGTAAGAATCTCCCCAGCTTGGGCTCTCCCATTCTCCCACTCACTGAGCCCATCTTCTCCTCTTCGGGGAGGCAAGCGATCTCAAAACGGACGAACACTGTCACACTCTACCCACACAGGAGGAGCTCCAGATCATTCTTAAGTAGCTCTCTTTCGGGGTAATTTTCCGTAATTATCTCAGGCTCTGGACAAAGGTTTCCTTGCCACCTCCCCGCAAGCCAGGCTGCTTTAAGGATTTTCTGATTCGTTATCTCAATTACGCAAGCACAGCCCTGTGCTCCTCTGGCCCTGGGGCCCTCTAGACTTCAGTGCTGGGGTCCCTGCTGGTGGTGGCCGTTCATTACGTACCTTTTGAACATCAGACGGTACCCTGGAGAGGAAGTCTAACAGCTCGTTATTGTCGATGGCATAGGGATTTCGAAGCTTCTTAGTAAACTTATTTATGCCTGAAAAATAGAAACACCAGGAGATCTCTTTTTCTGTCGGTGTATCCATCTGTCTGTCCGTCTTTAAGGCCTCTCCTGACTGGGGGAACAGAGTGGCATTCACAAGTAAAAATTAGTGTAAAACAATTACTAGACCTCAAGTCACACACAACATTGCTGGCATGTGAAATCATTCACAAATGCCTGGTCTTGGAGGAAGGGAGGGGAGGGTTGTGTTGGACAGGAGCTCTGCCTTCTTCGACTGTGAAAATCCCATTACAATCCCAGCAGCACGCAGCAGAAACACACGCGAAAACACTGGAGCTCATTGGCTTTTTTGGACTACGCTGATTAACAGCCTCCCCTGCTAAGAAAACAAATGTCCCAGATGGGAAAAGGCCTTCATTAGCCCAAACAAGTCTCTGCTTGGGGGCTCTGGACCCCACGTAGCAGTGGGAGGTGGAGGGGCGGGAGTTGCCTTTTTGTTGTTGAAAAGAAGACTGTGGAAATCTTTCTCCCCTCCTCCGACTCATTTTCACCGGTTCCTCTCCTCTCCCTGCAGAACAGAACCTGACATGTTGGTTGTAACTTTGATGTTACAGGAAACTGTGAAAAGCTATTACTGGAAATTATCTTGCTATGGTTGCTAACTTAATTTATGGACCACAACGCTGTGCGTGGGTTTGTCTAGTCAATGGAGTCCCTGCTAATTTAGGCCAGGGACAGTAGTGATTAGAGGAGGTTCAACGGGTAAGGTGTCTTTGAAGGCTCCACCTTGGGTGCCCAGGCATGCCCGGGGGCAAGTTCTGCCTGTGGTTTCCTCTCCAGAGGGATGTACCTCTCAGCCACCTCTCTCTTCCATTCTGCTCCTTGGAGCTGCTGTGAAGAGCACATCAGCTGCTGTCTTTTCACCAAAGATCAACTCTTTTCCATGCCATGCTGAGTTTTCGAAAGCACAAAGACCAGGTGGCGGGCTTCCAAAGCTTTGCCACCGAGTGCTTGTTTAGCAAAGATCGTAGCTGAAGGCCTCAGCCATCCCAGTGATGCCGAATGAATTCTCACCTTAGATGAGCCCCGACGTTTATTTACCCCAAAGCCGTCCCCAACACACAAAATCTTTGATGCTTTTCTTCATCAAATATTATTTTGCTTTCATCTGAGAACTGAACTTCCTGAGTGACATGGTATCTGACACAATGCCAACCTCCAGTCATTTCCTTAGAGGGTCAGATTTACATCTATCTGTTTTGCAAATGGGAGCTGGCCATTGCATGTGGGTAAATGGTGGCTTGGTGGTAGGGCTGGGGAAGTCTTCTTGAGAACGACCCTTTGTCTCTCAAGTCAGAGCTGCACGATGCCTTCCTTCCCTTCTACCCCCATGGCAAGCTTCATGTTTCTAGCTGAAATTTCCCCAAGTTCCTTTAAACTAAAACACTCTCACTGTGTTATTCTGAAGACACTTAATTGTAGCATGGGCTTTTTGGCAAAAGAAAACAGACAAGGCAAAATGATGAAGGGAGACAAAGACGTATTGAGAAAAGATATATCTTCTATTGTTAATTATACATAGTGTGCGCATCTGGAGTCTTTACAAAGAGCAGCAAGGCAGGGATAATATCACAGCTGATCAAAACACTGCATTCTTAGTCACTGAGAAGATTATAAACCTGCACAGTAGCTCAAACACACCAATAAGGGCAGAAGTAGCCCCACAATGCATTGAGACTGTTTGAACAACTTAGGATAGAAATTATAAGGCGATGAGATTGCACGCTGCAAAAGCACACCTTATTTTGTGAAGCCATCAAATGTCAGTAATTCCACAGTACTATCTACTGCATAAGCCCGAGTGTCAAAAGCGGATCATATACTCCTGGGTCATCACTGAGGGACAGTGGGGCAAGGAATAAGGGTTATGGAACAGCAATATCTGGGCCCCAGATCTGGCATCAGCATGTGTTAGCTGTGCGGTTTCAGACAAACCACTTACCCTTTCTGCCCCTCAGACTACTTACATTATAATCTGAATAATAAAGATCTGCACTATTATATGTAGTTTCCTAGGTTGATGGCAGAATTACGTTGGACGACATAAGCTAGAAGATTCTGTAATCTGAAATTCTGTAACAATGAAGGGGGCTACCATCAGTACCCCATATATCAACAAGCCAAAAAGCAGAGGGCGGCAAGACATGAACCGTTATACTATTAGGCATCTGATCACGCACACCCAACTTTGGAAGTTGTACCTTTTTCAGTAGTGTGATAGACACATTTTCCATTTTTTCACCTAAATACAGATAGGCAGGGGGCATATTAGCTGTGAATTTAAATTTTGTAGCACACGAAAAATGTGGGTTCCAAATACTGAGGGATAATATTTGGCAAAGACACTATCATTTAATGGTCCTGGATCTCAGATTGAACAGATCACTGGAGCGGAATGAGATCTCCAGGGAAAAAAAAATCTCTAGAAGAAAGTTGGAAAAAATCAGATGACTGTTTTGCACATATGGCCACAGGTGAATAAGTACCTGCAAGAGAATTATAACATTATTTTTCTGATACTTACATGAGTGACTGGGATGTAGCCCTGACCTCTATATATCAGTAGGAATGGGTGAGGTGGGGTTGAGGGTCCTTGCTTGCACATGTATCCGACGCTAAGTGCTTGCCCTCAAAAAGACACTGTGTTACCACAAACAGAGATACAAACTTGAATAACTTACAGGTCCTTCTTTCAAGAAGCTCAGAGTCTAGCTTGGGGAGTGGATATCCACCTTGGAACAACAGAAGTACTTCAAACCAGAACTCCAGTGTTTATGATGTAAACAGACTGGAAGGAATATAAAAAGCCTTTCAAGGGGGACAGAAAACTCACTTGGGGTCTACTCCTAAGAAATGCGTTGCCTCCTAGAAATACAACAAATTAAGTGATCAAAATTCAGGAGAAACTGTTTCCTTAAGAAAATTTCCAATATCTGTCTTACACCACTTCTCACGTAATTTGCAAAATCTACACTCCCACACTAGAGAGGTGGGTGGGTGGTGGGCTCAAAAGAAATGTCATCTGTGTAGATCCTAGCTATGAAACTTGCAGACTCATCTACTTATTAAATATCTGTCAAGGACGTGTTAAAGATCTACTGCCTCTATGTAGCTTTGCTAGGAATGACAGTCTAAGGAGGAAAGAAAAATGTCTCACCCATTAAAACTTACAATGAAGTTGGTGAGTCAAGGAATGTTTCTTAGGGCCATTATGAAATTAGGCTGCCTTCGGAGGCTTACATTGACTAATTCTCGTACTTTAGAATTAGTTCTACAAACATATTATTCGGTGTATAGACTATAGAAATAGAGAACATACACTTAAATAAGTTTGTTCCACAGGGTTAAAAACATTGGACCAAAAAAATCTTAGGATCTTACTCACCACTTTTAGGACTCAATGAAAATGAATAAATAACTCAGAATAAGAAATCATCTTCCTATCCTTAATAGAGTTAAAAGGAACAGTAGAAATTTAAGACATATGAAGTGATCTTCTTTGTGAGAAAGACTCTGCCAAGGATACAATCACATAGGAGATGTGCAAAGGAACATTCTGGGTCCATGTTAGCAAATAACTAATTTGTCTTGGAAAAGACAATAGAAATGTAGAGTGTATTCCATGATGGCATGGCAGCTTTTACTCAACAAGACAATAGATCATGTGTTGACTGTCAAGGCTTTCAATCACATTGTACGTGGTAAACTCAACAATAAACTATAAGCCCCTGTCTAGAATGTAAAACTAAAGGACCAGACATAGAAGACAAAGCTCAAAGGGTTACTGTCAGCTCAGGAAAACATAATAAACTCCATGATATTCGATAATTTCATCCATAAATTATAAATTTATTGCTAAATTATAAAAACAGCAATATCTTATTAATTAGATGCAAAACTTTGGTGTTGGAGAGCTGCCAAGAGCTTGGCAGATAAGATCAGAAGTCAAGGCGATTTTGGATACACAGAAAGAGGGACTGGAATTCCCAAACTGACGATCGCAGGAGGAGATACAGCCTAGTCTTCTTTGTGGAGGGAAAGATGCAGAAAAGCACATCAAGCGTGCTCTAGAATGATTAGGAAATCATGAAAACAGGGTTTGACAAGCTGACCATGCATTCAACGTACACCAGCTTTAAAATGAACAGAATATTGGCCAAATAATTGTAATAATTTTGAGTCATGTTTTGGTTAGGGTCAGACAATAGTTTTAAGATCTGTGTTTTAAATGTGAACAGTTAAGTGGATTTGGAAGCTCATTTTTAATGAAAAGCAATTAAGAAAGAGTGAGAGTATCCAGTCTATATAGATAACATTTAGTACAGAAGGTATTCTGGGAAATGCTTTTACAAAATGTTCCTTCTTGATCAATGGACATGAAGACCTCCACGCTCTCTTTCTAAGGGTCTATGGACTGATTCGCTTGCATTGTTGCAAAACAGAGAAACAAGCAAACAAAAACTAAGTATGGCTAGAAGGCTTTCCCCAAGAGTGAAGGTCATAAAAGCTTAAAACAGACTTCTAAGGAGGGAAATGAGAATATCTTTTCCTTTTCTCGGACTTGTGGTAAAAGAGAGATACTTCTTTATATGGGATTTTCACTTCCTAGACAAAACAGAGGACCAGTGGATTACACTCTCTCAAAATCATTCCACTTCTGAAGTTTTATGAGTTATTCTATTTTTTCGATGGCTTTTCCCAATTCAGAATATCTACATTTGGCCTTCCTAGTCAGCAAGATCCTACTTCTGTGGGTTCTCTTTGAAAGGTCTATATTTAATGGTTTTAGAAAGGTTGTAGCTTTTTATCTGACATTTGCAGACTCTCTGCTTTTGCTTAAAGACGAATGCATCTTAATGCAGTCACTTGTATTTGTAACTTCTCTGAACACTTAACATCTGAGGATCCCTGGAAGGGGGTGGCTATGATTCAGAGCTCAGGAGTGGTCTAGGAGCCAAGTAATAGAACACGACGATGGGCAGACTCTTACGGAAAAGGGTTGATTGCTTCTCCAACAATTAATTGACTGTAATGCACCCTCCTTCTATCAACCCAGAGCCCACCCAGCAACAGACACAAATATTCACAAAGCTGCTTGTATTTTGTCCAGCTGCGAGCTGGAGCAGTAAATCAAGTCATGACATTTATTTCGAGTTTGTGATTTTTGTTTCTACTTTTGTAAAGCAGCTAAACTTTATATAGGCACACCATTTACCCTGCTAAATAATAGCTTCCTCTTCCATCAGGCCTGGGTTATGGAGTAGCTACCTCCCTTCCTCTCTTCTGCTTCTGGATTTAAGTATTGGGTTAGGTTATTTTTCCTCCAGGAGAGATGAAGTGTCAGAAGCAACCTGGCAGCAGCTAGACCTACTTTTACATAATGGAAAGGGCGAGATGCAGGTGTCTGCTCGCTGTTTGAATAACAGTGTTTCCTGAAAGTTAACTGGGCCACAGCAATATATTATTCAAGAGTATTTATGACTATGAAAGCCCAAAGGGAAATCACATGCACAATCACATTTTTATTTGATTGCAATTATGCAAGCGGCCTATAAATATTTCTACTGATCGTTCACGCAATTGGCCTTTTCAAGGAGGTCCTGGAAGTTTTTTGTTCCCCAAATGCCTTCCTTAATCTCATGTTTAATTGCCAACAAGAGCGCATTTAAAGTTTATAGTCCCACTTTACAAATGAGTAACTGGTTCTTACCTGAAATTGACTGCTAGCAAAAGGACCATGCCAAACTTACCCCAGATTAAAACGATGTACCGGAGAGGAATGAAATACAAAGTGACAGTGGCCACTGCCAGGATCAGACAGGCCAGGAAGGAAAGGAAGGGGACCGTCCAGTTAAATGTGCTGTAGACAAACCACAAAGATGTCATTTTCTCACATGTTCTAGCACAGCTATACATTCATCTGGCCATGTTTATTTTTTGTAACTTTTTTTTTTTTTTTAAGAGACAGAGAGACAGAGCACAGGTAGGGGAGGGGGAAGGGGCAGAGAGAGAGAGGGAGACACAGAATCCGAAGCAGGCTCCAGGCTCTGAGCTGTTAGAACAGAGCCCCGTGTGGGGCTCCAACCCACGAATGATAAGATCATGACCTGAGCCGAAGTGGGTCGTGTCACCGACTAAGACACCCAAGAGCCCCTAAAAACCACAGATTTAAATCTAAGCATATCAGTAACCATATTAAATCTCAATGGACTACAAGCTATAATTAAAAGCTAGTGATTGTCGGAAACAAAATGATACCTAAAACATAAACGGAAATTAATACGAAAGGATATATTATGAAGAAACCGATAAGTGGGAGGTGCTGTGGCCATATTAATATTAGTTAAAATACTAAGGCTAAATTTCACTTACTGTTTAGAGACAAATACGTCACTTCCAATCGATTAGCGATCTAATTCACCAGGAAAGTATAACAATTTTAATATGTACAACCCACATACCATAGCTTTGGAACAGAGAAAGCAAAAACTGACCGAGCTACAAAGAAAATAGACAAATCCACAGTGGAAAGTTTTGACACACATCTCTAAGTAATTGATACGGGAAGCCCAACCAAACATAAAACTCAGGATGTAAAAGATTGAATGTAATTAACAAAATTAATCAATGAATATATATACAGGACAATACACTAGATAACCTTTTCAAGATGACATGGAAAATTTACAAAAGTAGACCATTTTATCAATCAATATTTTCTGACCATAAAGCAATTAAGTTAGAAACCAAGAACAAAAAGATACCCAGAAAATCTTCATATACTTGGAAATTAAGCAATATGCTTCTTGGAGAAGGAAGACATAAAAACAGAAGGAAAAAAAGAGTTTTTACTAAAATTGAATGCTAATGAAAATATCAACACCAAACTGTCTGGCCTGGAGCTAAAGTTGTGCTTATAGGCAACTGTGGAAATTTAAGCGGTCTTTAAATGTCAGGGAAATTAGAAAGATTGAAAACAAGTTAGAAAAAAAAATACTAAATTAATCCCAAGGAAAATAAAAGGAAGAAATGAATGAAAATAAGGGTACTAATAATTAATGAAAAAGAAAACAGGTTAACAGGTAAGATTAATGAAGGCCAGTGATAGTTCTTTCTAAAGACTAAGATATTTGATAAATCCCCATCGAGAAAGAAGCTTAAACACAATTAGCATCAAGCAAAAAACGTAGATAAAGCTACTGACATTAAAGAAAGGATTTTATAAGAGGAATTTATTAACAAATTTATATCAAAAAGTAGAAAATTTAAACAAAATGAGGAAAATCCAGAAAATGACCACTTAAAGAAACAGATGTGAGAAGAAACAGAATGGCTAAACACATCTATATACTTTACAAAAACTGAATATTCAGTGAAAACCTTTCCTAAAAGAAAACTCCAGGCCCAGATGCTTCACCAGCAAATTATAGCAAATCTTAAAGAAGCAATGACTCCAGGCATATGAGAGCTGTTCCACCTGTTGCATGAGTGTAGAATAATCTTCTCTCCATAAGGAATTTTCAAGAACAGAAAATTATAGATCATTGGCAATGCAATAATCCTATGCAAAGTAAGAGTAAATAAAAGACAGCAATATACATAGGTATTATATAGCATGATGAAATTGGGTTTATTCCATAAGGAAAGACTGGCTTACCATTTGAAAGTCAATCACAATAATAGACCACAGTAACAAAAATAAAGGAGAAAAAAACCCCATCATTTCATTGAATGCAGAGAAAAGTTTGATCAAACTCAACTCACATTCATGATAAAAACTCTTAGTAAACTAAGAATAAAAGGGAACTTCCTTAATTTGATACAGCATCGTTACAAAACTCTAAAGCGAACACCATTCTTAGAATGAAATGTTGAAAGCTTTTTCTCTATATCACATTGGAGAAGAGTGTTCACCCATGCCAATTCTGTTCTAACACAAAGTAAGAAAACATAGAAAAATGTAGAAGGACTGGAAAATAAGGAATAAACAATTATTCATCGATAATATGTTTATGCAATAGAAAATTAAGGACAATAATCTTCAGATAAAAATTAAGATAACTAAGTTTACCAAAATTTAGAAATACAAAGTCAATGTGGGAAAATTAATTTCACTTCTATATCCCAGGAACAAACAAGTAAAAATCAAATTTGAAAAAAAGGATGCCATTTAAAATACCATGAAACAAATCAAGTACTTAGGAATATATCTCACAAAAATGTGTCAAACTTCTCTATATAAAACTCTAAACTAATACTGAAATCAATTCAAGATGACCTAAATAGACAGAAGCCTATATTATAGAACTTAAAATTTTATCAAGATGTCAATATTTCCCAATTAATGCAATCCTTCTAAAAATCTCCATAGTTGTCTGTGTGTGTTCAAATGTGTCGTGTATCATGTACATTAGAACTGGGTGCTAGAAATGAAGATGTGTATCAGATGCTCTCACAAACACTGTCAGATTTGCTCTCCCAATAGCCAACTCAGTTAACTCTTGTGTTTTCCCCTGAGCAACTCACAATTTTAGTGGAGAGTATTTTAATGTTTTTTTTTAAAGAAGGGGACATTCACTTTCTAAGTTTTTTAAACATTTAAGACACAGAAAAAGTCAAGGCAGTTCGCCAAAAATAATATCCATAATAGTCAATATTTTTTAAGCTAGTAATGTATGCCATCCACTGGTCTGAGCCCTTTACATGTACTAATTCCTTTAATTCTTACAAAAATGCTATGAAGCAGGAATAATTATTACTCCCATTCTACAAATGAGGACTCAGTGTCATAAAAGTTAAATAATTGGCCCCAGATCACTTACCTTCCACGTAAGTGGCAGAATTGGGATCTGAATTCAGAAAGTCAGCTAAAAAGCCCTCTCCCTGCCTCTGTGGTAGGCACTTTAGAACATGTTAAAAGGTATATTTTGTTCATTTAATTTATTCAATACTCCTGTTCATACTGAGGATTTAAATCAAAGACATTATTTTGTAATACCTCTAACACTGGAAACTTACTAGACCTTCCCCCTATTATCATGGAGTATCTTATGCTAGTTTCCACAGAACACCCAAGGTTAATAAACCCTGGTAAATCGAAGCTTTCCATCTCAAAATCAAAATCACTTTGTGAAACATTTACACAGACTTCCCTGGTTTTCCTGACTTGAGAACTCCTTAAATTCCTAAGAAAGGGAATCTCTGACTTGGGAAGTAATGAGCCAAATGAGCCAAACCTTTCAATTAGTGGGGAAAAAAAAAAAATCAGTGACTGGTCTTCATTCATTCAATCATTCAGGCTTACTAATATGTCCTAAGAATATCATTTTCATGGCTCCAAAGCACTAACCAAAAATGATTGTGACTACATCTGGTAAGGGAAATCCAGCCCCATCTGTACTTCTACCCCCAACTGGGTGTCCCAGTAGTTGACCGTAATGCCCATGGATCCATTATTTTTCTCATTTCCAGGGCTAGGACGAATTAAGTCTTCTGACTCCACTACACATGGGAACAGGATTGCCTGGTCATATAATTCTAGAGGCGACTCTTTTGTAATATACCCCACATGATGCTTTCATCTTATGATGAATGTTCAACTCTTATGAAGGTACCTTCCAAAGCAGACTCTGGAACATTTGCAGGGATGGCTTCCCTGTCCTATGTTTCTCACTTTCTCCTCCGTGAAGACTTCCCTGACCACGCAGAGATACAAGTGTCAAAGCCAATACCCCATAAGGACAGGACACATAAAATACAGCATGGTTCTGACCCCTCCAGCCTGCTGTCTGAGATGATCTAGATGCTACACGTTCAGTATATGTGTTAGCCATACATACATTTGAAATGAGTACAATATTAGAGAAAGTAGAGAAGAGTAGAAAAAGAAACTATGATTGGGGTCTTCCCAGCCAGTAACCGGGAAGCCTAGCTCTGAGAGTCTTTTGTAAGCTTATTTATTTACTAGCTGCCAGAAGTTGGGTAAAAGTTTTCTTGGTCCTTAAACACTGAATTACAATGGAATTCCAACAGAGTTACACAGGCCATCCCAGTTGAATGTCTAGCAGGAACTTGAAGGTCACGGTAGTAATGAATGGCCAAAGAATTAATAGGAGTAGAGCCTCATGAGCCTTCCTTCCTGTGCCGCAGCTGGGCAGAACAGTGCTCTGTTCATGGCTGAAAATATGTCTCCGCCACGGCCACCACAGCTGTGCTGGGCACAACTGCCCCCCAGACGCACTGCAGAGATGGGGGCCCGTCTAAATCACCCTGCCTTCTTCCCTCAACAGACACATTTCCTTGACCATTATCAACTGCACAACAGCCACATTTGTCTGTTGGAGACCTTTAAGCGTGGAGACGGTTTTACCAAATGACATGGCCTTCCTTCCTCGGTCTTGCCCCCGCTCTACATCCTCTTTTCCTCCTTGCTGCTAAAATGTTCCTTACCCAATTTGTTTTTCACTGACTTTTCCCATCCACTCAAGGCCCCGTATAATCTGCCTCACCTCCACACACCGCCACCACCACCCACCATCACACAGACATACTGAACCCCACACATCTCCCTGTATGTAGCTTGGGCTTTGAACCTTGGCACAAAGTCTCCTACTTACTGATGTTTCCATTCTTCGAGTCTTTCCTCAACTATCTCTTCCCATTATCAGACGGGCTGATAAGATTTTCCTTCTTCAGAACTGCCCTCAGTCAGTCTCTCTCCTAGATCCCTTTCTGGGCTGGTCAGACCTCCCCTGACAGCGTGTTTTACCTCCACCTCACATCAACGCAACTAAATTCTAATTGTCTCATTACTGTTCTCCATCGTGTAGTAATGAGGAGGGCAGGTTAAAATCTAACCTTCTTTGGGGTGCCTGGATGGCTCAGTCAGTTAAGCGTGTGACTTTGGCTCAGGTCATGATCTCGCGGTCTGTGGGTTCGAGCCCTGCGTCGGGCTCTGTGCTGACAGCTCAGAGCCTGGAGCCTGCTTCAGATTCTGCATCTCCCTCTCTCTGCCCCTCCCTCCCATTCTCTCTCTGACTCTCTCAAAGTAAATAAACATTAATTTTTTTTTTAAATCTAAGCTTCTTCACTTACTAGTTCTGTGACCTTGGGCTACAGAGTTAATCACTCTGTGATTCCATTTCCTCATCTGTAAAATGGGTAGATTAGCAATCCTTAATTGATAGGCTTGCTGGAGTCCTATAATCTGATTCTTTTCAGGAACTTCTTAAAGAAATGACTATGTGTAAAGGGTTTTTTACACATAGTCTGTGTAAAATGTGTCTGGCAGGCACATGACATGAGCTGATGTTGCTATTATCATGGTTTTATGGAAAATGTCTCATTCTTAGACCAGGTCAGTGCCTGAAACTTAGAACTGAGAGTTAATGAGTGAATGAAGAAGAGGTATAATGTCTTCCTCATCATCTGACTATTTTCTATAGTCACATGTTTTTCTTAAACAATTTTGAGGGTAATTTAAGAAATCTTTTGTCATTTTATGTAAAATCAAGAGGAAAAAAGCAGGTGGGCATCAACATATGTAAGCAAAACTCTTCCTGCTCGTTAATTTTCCTTCTAAGACATTGATAATGGAAATAACAACATGTAAATTCAGTAAAGCTCACCAAATTTGTTTAAAGATGATTTATAACCTATTTTATAAACAAAACAAACATGCTTTACTATGCCAATAATAAATGGCCACTCAAGAGTGACTGAATTGGATAACTGAGAAAGATCAGTATCCATAGAAAGTTTCATATGAACTATTTATATTTCCTGCTACTAATTATAACTTATGGTTTCCCTGCATCTCGATGTACAAAATTTTTTCTTGGCTTTTAGCACTTATTTTCATCTCTTCTTTACCCATGCAACTTCTAAAGTATTATCTTCATTATTTAAAGAAACTGGAATGGCCAAGGAAATAAGAAAAAAGTATTAATCTACAGAAAGAACAACATAGTTGACATAATTCTGGATTTAAAGGAAGAAATAAGTTTATAATTTAGAAGCCAAAACAGGGGCTCGGTTGGTTAAGCGTCTGATTTAAGCTCAGGTCACGATCTCACAGTTTGTGGGTTCGGGCCCCGTGTCGGGCTCTGTACTGACAGCTCAGAGCCTGGAGCCTGCTTCAGATTCTGTGTCTCCCTTTTTCTCTGTCCCTCCCCTGCTCATGCTCTGTCTCTCTCTGTTTCTCAATAATAAATAAATGTTAAAAAATAAAAACTGGTTCCCTTACTACTCTTATTACATTTTTGTTTTTTAAAAAAAGCCAAAACAATTAAAAATTGCTCTGTTCATTGATACACAATGAAGACCCAGCTATACAGAGTTCATGATGTTTAAAACAGAACTAACATGAATCACAGAAAGAGTCTTTCTCGACAGACTACATTAGATATTTAGACCTTGTGCCCTAAGGTAGGAAGTGACAGCTATGGGTTGGATTTAAGTCAACTCTAGCCTGTCACCTGTTTTTGTAAGAATGCACATCATACCCATTCATTTAGGTATCAATGATGCCTGATTTTATACTTAGCACAGGGGAGTAGTTAATGGTCCACCAAGATGAAAATATTTACTCACTGCCCCTTATAAAGAAAGTCTGTTGACCCCTCTCCTAAGGCACTCATGCATGTGATGAATTAATTTCACATCTTCATCTGTGATGCTACCAGCTATGTACCATTCTTTGGTAAGTTGAGGGGAAAAAAATCACTCAACAGCATTCACTGTGGTCTATGTTTTAGTAGGAAAAGGCAATGTTAGAGCATATTTCCTTCCCTTTTTGTTTCTGAATAGGATACTCTTCTTTTAAAAAATCTATAATTTATCACCCAAACCAAGATATTTTGAGAATGAAATCATGATGCCAGGGCAGTTGGTGTGATTTGCCACATGGCCACCCCAGTTCTGAGGCTGTCCAGCTGTGAGGCTGACAAGCTCAAAAAACAAACCAACAAACATAAATAGGGCTGGCTCCAAACACTGCAGCTTTTGTGTTTTTCATTTTTGCATTTCCTGATCCCTCCCTCCTTACCCCTGCTGTCCGTATGGATGTCAGCTCTGCGTCAAACACAACACAAATATAGAACTTACTTTTTAATTCTTTCTCCAAAAGAAGCTATTTCCTCCAAGATGTTTTGAACAGTTGAAACAATATCCTGTACCATATAGATTCTTTCAATGAACCCCTTTTTCTCGGATTCCTAGGAAACACAAATGCAAGATTTAACTTGGTCACTTCGTTTTTACTGTCCCGCAATAGAAATTACCATGCTGTGTTATAATCACATGGTTATCAGCCGCAAAGTGACTCCAAAAGATGAATCGCATTATCCACAACGTAAATATTTCTTGGCCCCAGAGATCTACTGCCCACTCATTCAGATACAACCATTCACCGCGTGCCTCAGTTTCTTCCTCAGGATGAGGACACGCTGTGTGGAAACTCCACAGAGCCCAGAGCTTCATTTTTTCTGGGGGAGCTGCTACTTCTGCTAGAGAACTCTGCAACTCCTTCTATTTGGCTGACCCTGGCATCCTGTCTGGCTTCACAAGGTTATCTGCTAGCTCACCTTACCCAAGTCCCCCCACAATCCTTCAGAAACATTTTTAGCAGGTGACAATACGTATGCTGGAAAGCCAGATGATGCGTTTCCTGCTACTGTGGCTTCTTTGTCAAACTCTGTTGGGTTTTTCGTTGTGTTTTATACCCACTGCAAGTCTGATGACATTTCAGTCATCCTTTGGCAACTGCCTCAGAAACACAATAGGCCGCTGGAGGCAGACTACAGGGTCCCTGCCGGAGACTGCATCCTACACAAGTTATCCCTGTGGAGGCTGCCCAATGATTGACTGGCTTTTCCTTTATAGACTTAGAAGTAAATACAAGTTCATCTTCCTCTCTCTCCATTTCTTCACATGAAACAGAATTTAGCCTTCTAAGAATATTATCTTTACTTTGCTTAAAGAAAATCTCAAGTGTAGGGGTGCCTGGGTGGCTCAATTCAGGTAAGCATCTGACTTTGGCTCAGGACATGATCTCAGGGTTGAGGAGTTTGAGCCCTGCATCAGGCTCTGTGCTTACAGCTCAGAGCCTGGAGCCCATTTCGGATTCTGTGTCTCTCTTTCTCTCTGTCCCCTGCCCTCACTCATGCTCTGTCTCTCTCTCACCTTAAAAAATAAACATTAGAAAAACATTAAAAAAAAAAGAAAATCTCAACTATGTTTTACCATGTTAGGCAGCTGATGCTGACAAAAAGAATTTGGAAATTACTCAAGTGCTGGAGAAAAGACTATTCTCTAAACAGTGGTATTTTTCCACAAGTACTTATATTCTGATATTATGATCTAGCTTCCTGGGAACTCTATCGTAACTGGGATTTAGCGAATATCTTCTTGGCTTTTGCCTATCAGGGTCACTGTAGCCACTATATCTAATATATAATACCTAAAACCTCAAATAAATCTAGCGAAGCTTTTTTTAAATTTTTTTTTTCCTACCTAGAATTTTACTTGAGGTAGAATTCTGCTAAATTACAGAGCAAAACCTTTTAAACTGAAGAGACCATTTTAAGAATAACCTTCTCTGAAGTGAAAGAAAATCTTTCGCTCTCCTCTTGCATTCTCTTTTCCATCAAACTGGACACAATTTGGGTGGGAAGGAGAATTCACCACCTGGTTGGAGATTGTGAGTAAAAGCACCGCTATGAAAGAAATGCCAAAAAGCACTTCCCTTCTTGCACTTGCTCTAGTTTCTGAAGCTAGGTGACCAAAAAGACCACAGAGAGGGCAGAAGGCAGAATGCACCGCTGTCAGCCCCTCTTTGGTAAAGCGGATGGTGCTGGGATGGTTTGAATACCCTCTTGCGGTCTGGGCTGAACTCCATAATCCAAGCATCCGGTATAGACGGGGAAGGTGGGCTCATTGTGCTCTCTTTTTTGTTTTTTTAATTTTTTTAAATGTTTTATTTATTTCTAGGAGACAGAGAGAGACAGCGTGAGCAGGGGAGGGTCAGAGAGAGAGGGAGTCACAGACTGAAACAGGCTCCAGGCTCTGAGCTGGCAGTCAGCACAAAGCCCGACGCGGGGCTCGAACCCACGAACCGCGAGATCATGACCTAAGCGAAAGTCGGACGCTTAACCGACTAAGCTACCCAGGTGCCCCTCATTGTGCTCTCTCAATACGTCAAGCTTGCAAGATATTTTCCCTTTGTTCACCCCCACTTTAAATTCCTTATTCCCCTTCTCTAATTCTTCAAGCGGCTTGCATTAAAAATTAGATATGTTACCAGAACAATCCAGTTCCTGCTCAGCAATCCATAACATCGATTCATGGGCACAATTATAAAAACTCATCGCTGTCTGCTACAGAAGTATTCATGTTTACAAAGAAGGATTTGAAAGCACCAGGGAATTTGACCCAAAGGGCAAAAGTAGCTTCCTCTTTTCAGCAGCATAGGCTTTGGGTCAAAACAATTTCTTGGACAATGACTCAGATTTCCATGTGGCTCACTTCATATAAGTGTCCTAGTTCAGCTGATTGTTGTTTTTTCCGCACCCCCTCCCTAGGAAACACCTAAATGCTGAGATTCTGGTTGTGAACCAAGTAGAAGTTAGCAAACCAAAACAATAAATGATTGTCACAATGTCCTTTTACTTTTTCATGGATTTGATGTTTTAGTTTGCATATTTAATATTCAAACACAAGGCTAAAGAGTCCCACCATATCTAGGCTAATAGGATTGTAATTTATCAACCAAATCTCTACCCGTTTAAGAGTAAAAGTAATCAGAATTATAAAATTTTTGAAATACTTTTGGATTGTCCACTTGGTTTTATCATATTGGTGGATCCACATCACCATTTCATTTTATTTTTAGAAATGCAGTCCTTCAAATATTTTAAAAAGCATATTTTGTATGTTAAAACAAAAGAAATGTATTTATGTTATCTGAACATTTTTAAATGATACATAAAGAATGATTATTAGTGCTACATATTCACATATTTAACTGGTTTCCTAGGTATATCTATTTATAATCCCAGGTCAGGGTACTTTTCAGAAGAATGTACTTTTTAATGCCATCTTTTTATATATTTCATAAAATTGTTCTTAATCATCTTCAGAGGTGCACTTAATAGTCATTAAATTGACACCTTTAATTGACTCGACTGTGGATCATAATTTTAATTATGACAATACTCTCTCTACAGGCGCTGAGGTGCCTTGAAATCTCACACCAAAAAGTGTGTTACATGGAGAAAATCATTATCAATATTAATTTTTTAAATATTTTTAATGTTTTCAAAAATTTATTTCTGAGAGAGAGAGACAGCTTGAGCAGGGGAAGGTCAGAGAGAGAGGGAGATAACAGAATCTGAAGCAGGCTCAGGGCTCTGAGGCCTGGGGCTCAAACTCACAAACTGTGAGATCATGACCTGAGTCCAAGTCAGATACTTAACCGACTGAGCCACCCAGGTGTCCCGAATTTTAAATATTGAGATCTACCTATATTTCAGCCCAAATATTTTCAAAGGCACTGTATATTATATCTATTCATATGAACATTCTCTATCAAACATCTTTTCAAGATAAAACTTCAAGTAAATTGTCTCCATAATTATTCTCAATATTTAACAAAATTTATGCTGAAAAAAAAGCCTTCTCAATTTCCTTCCATTCTTGGGTAACATATATATTTAATCTATCAAATATCAAAAGACTTTTCTCCCCCACAAATTGAAATATCTCAAAGGGAAACTTCAAAACTTAAACAAGGAATCGCACATAGCATTTGACCTCATAGTTTACTTAGTGCTGAATATTCCTTCTTCTTGCAAAAAAAAAAAAAATTCACCGTCTTTTTTGCCAGCTGTTTAAAAAATTCACTTCCACTCGTTATAAGCTTTCAAAGATGAAGTCACTTAGCATTTAATCATGGAAGATTTTGATTAAAATTTCCAACTGATTATGACCCAAATTCAACAAAAAATTATAGAGATCTCTTTTTTCTCAACATTTTGATAGCTCTGGGAAATGTTCACGTTGACTAAGACCTCTTCAAAGGTTCAAGGATTCTTAAAATCAGACTGATGACCAGCAGCAAAAACATAGCACATGTTGCCACACTGACGTCCATTTTTTATGTTTGACATATCTTTGTCATGAATATATGTGTATATGTATATATATATATAATGCTTATTATATATATAATGTCTATTATATATAATGTTTACTATATATAATGTTTACTATATATAATGTTTACTATATATAATGTTTATTTTATATATATATGTTTATATATATATAATGTTTATAGGGGTACCTGAGTGGCTCAGTTAGTTAAGTGTCTGACTTCAGATCAGACTCATGGCTCATGAGTTTGAGCCCCGCATCAGGGTTGGTGCTGACAGCTCAGAGCCTGGAGCCTGCTTCAAATTCTGGGTCTGCCTCTCTCACTCTGCCCCTTCCTCACTCATGCTCTGTCTCTCTCTCTCTCTCAAGAATAAATAAATACTAATTTTTTAAAAAAATATTTATACATGTGGACACTATAGCTTCTAATTCAATTGATGGAGCATATCATTTATCTGTACACAATCATGGAAAATCAGGAATCACAGATTCCCTCATTTTTTTAAGAATATCTTATTAGCCATGATGCTGTCCATCATCAAAGTTTGCGTTCATAGCATCATTACCAAATTAAATAACCCCCAATGCTCAATGTTCCAACTAAATTTACAATGGCATCCCTGATGCCAGAGAATTTATCATTTGTAAAACTAACTAACAAAAGCTCTATTTTGGTTCCTTATATTGGATACCAAAAATGAAAACAATTTTAGAATGAACTTATTTGATATTCTCTTTGAGTCATTTGCTGTCATCCAGAAAAGACTGCCATTATTTGACTCAGCACAAGGTTTTTTATAGGTTGATGTTACTGAAGTCAACATATGAACAGCTACCTTGCCATTTTTCATATGTGTACAATGAAACCTTGGGATGGAAACTCAATAAATGCATAACAGTCATTTGATCTAAAAGAAAAGTCATACTCCACTGAGAGACAGAGAAACACAATTTTTCAGAGGCCTAAATGCACATTTCCAGAAATGGTTTTCTTAAACTAACTACTGTTGAAGCCTCTTAAGCAGATTTGTAACTTAAGTTTACTTATCTGTAAACTCATGAT